AAAGCAAAAAGAAATAATTTCAGAAATTTCTGTACAAATGATTGACATTATCAAAAGGCAACATTTTGATTTGTTTGAACTAGATTAACAAGGGGATATAGGGACCAGTTAGAAAACTGAGGTGGTGGTGCCCAACACCCAGTAGCCCAGTGGTAAGGGCTCTCACTTGTGACATAGGAAACCCAGGGACTAGAACATGTGACTTGCTGCTTTTAGGTGAGTGACGTAACCACTAGGCAAAAGGGTACTCTGTGGTGGGTCTCTCTCAGTTTCTTCTGTCAAAGCTGTTCCATTTTGTGTAAGTAATTATATATTAATTGGAGCATAAATTCAAGAGGATTGATTGAGAGAGACCCACCCTAGACCAGACAATAGCCTGGTGATTAGGTCACTCACTTGGAAAGGAGGAGTCTAGATATGACCCGAAACAAAATTGTTCAATTTTTTTTATTTGCCAACAAATCCAGAAAATGTTTTTTGGTTCAACCTGAAACAATTTTTAAAAATTATTTTGTTTTATTGGGGGAGGGGGCAAGAGGCTCTTCATAGTTATTTGATTTCTATGGGAGCTAGGCACCCCACTAGGTGCCTAGCTACATCTTTAGGTGCATAAACACCTGTAGATATTATCCTCTAAGAGACTGAGATGCCTCGGTTCCATTTTCAAAAGTGACTTGAGTGTTTAGGAGCTTAAATATCACTGAGAGTCAATGGGTTTAGCAATGCTAAGTCAAATAACTCTAAATACCTCTAAAAATCTGGACTTCAGACAAGAAGTGACAAAAGTGATGAATCATGATAGCAATCTTCAGATCCAGGAGGAAGGATCCCAGTCAGATGCAGATGGGGGCAAGATGGGGTCACTTTTACTCTTTGTTTAATCTAGTAGCAGTGGGAAATTAATCAGACTGAGGTGTGGTTATGGCTGAGCACCCCGTTAGGGAAACTGAAATAAGAAATGTTAAACAAAAAAGTTTCCAGGACACAAGTTATTCTGTCCTTCTGTGAGAAGAAAGTGGAAACTTTATCTAACATGCTGAGTGGACTCTAGTTCTGGATGCTAATGTGTTATAACCAGAAAGTGAAACTGATTAGAAACAAACTGTAAACAAATGTGATATTGACTTCTGTTTTCATCACCTGTACAGAGTGAGAGGGAAAAAAAGATAACAAAAAGTAAAAATGGTGGAAAAACATTTAAGTTTTAGAACTTCTTTCCATTTGTATAATCCACAGTTATTAACAATGCAAGATTATTTTATTCTATTTATTTATTTTGTAAAATGTATGAGGCTTGATTTCAGAGGTGCCAAGCACTGTCATTTAAGACTGATTAGAAAGGGAGCTTCAGATGATCAGTACCTCTGAAATTCATCAGTGTGAATTTTAACCTGATAATGTTCCATAATTTATTATTAATAAGGGCATCTTAGATACTTTATAAGCAGTAAAAATTGGGCCTGTTGTTGCTTGGTATCACACCTTCCCTTCCGGAGTAAGACTGTGGTGAGACTACTGTCACAATATCTAAATGCCTCTGATTTCCTTGACTCTTTTCTTACTGGATGTAGACCTGGCTTTGGCTTTGAAACTACATTGGTTGTGTTGGTTGATGATCAGGCAATAGATGAGAATTATGTGTTCTTGCAGGTATTATTAGTCTGTCCCCTGCCTTTGATCACAAAGTGATGTTGACTTGTCTACAGGACCTGGCAGGAGTGGACAGACCTGCTTTTTCTTGGCTTTGTTCTTTGCTCTTGAAGAGATCTCACTGGTAGCTGTTCTTATTTCCATAGAGCTCTCAAGTGCCAGGGGCATCATTCTGTCACCTCTCCTGTGTGATGTGTATATGGGGCTGTTACAAGGGGGGGGGGGGACATGGAGTCTAGTGTTTTTAGTATGCTGATGACACCCAGCTTTGTGTCTATCATATAACTCACATAGTCTCATTCAATGCCTCATTCAATGTCTAGTTGCAGTATGGAGCTAGCTCAAGCTCAAACCAGCAGTACTGAGATGGTGATGAGTGGTTGGGTGAGGTAATTAGGGGAGATAGAAGAAATAACATCAGTTCCTTTAATTGAGGAAGTGCTTCTGTCACTGGGCTTTGTAATTTAGATGTGATTCTGTCCCTCCAGCTGTTGTTGGATGATCATAACACAGAAGTGAACTAGTCAGTTTTCTGCTGTCTGTATCTAGCCTGGAGTTTGCAGCCTCCTTTGTCATATGTGGATCTTGCTACTAGTATCCAAACTGTTGGCAGCTCATGAATAGATTATTGTAATGTGCTCTACATTGGACCACTTATTATAATCAGGGCAACTGAAATGGTGCAGAAAGCACCAATTCACTTATTGGCTGGGCATCTCGCTGGGTGTATGTACCATTAGTACTCTGGGATCTGCACTGGATGCATATCGGTCTCCAAATGGGGTTTAAGTTGTTGGTTATGACTTGGAAAGCATTAAATAACCTGGGAAGTGACTACTGGGAGAGTACACTTCTCTCCCTGTGACATATTGCCCCAGGTGTGGACACTGGAGATGCTCAAATTAAATCTCCTTTCAGAGATGGAGTTGCTGGGAGTTCACATGGGAGTTCCAGGACTCACCAGTGCCACTACCATCTTGATCCAAAATATCCCATATTTGGGGAACCTCTAGAAATTCTGAAAGAGCCATCCATTTGATAGGGTTCTGGGAGAGGACTGGGTGAGAAGGAGCCTTTTGTAGCTTTTTGGCTAAGTGCTCAAGTAAAGTTGGTCCTCTGTGAATGTTTGTTTTTTAATGCTGCTGGGAATATTATATTGATAATTGAATTATCAGGATGCCTAGATCTTTTGGGTAGGTTTATTTTTGTTTTTTTAAATATAAAAGTATAAAATAAATAAAACACGGTTCCTGCCATGAAGAACTTACAATATAAACTCCTGAACCTTCTAAAGGATCTCCCCACTTGGACCCTCAAATCTGAGTGGAGTCCCATCCATTTTACTGAGGCTCTATGCGGGCAGATTCATTAGCAGGATCAGGCTGTAGATAGTCAATATTTAAGGAAAGGATGAGAAATAAGATGCAAGAAAATGTGAGGTAACTGAGTGGTGAACGTCAGCATGAGTCATGGTACTTTGAAGATTTTATTTTTAAACATGCCTGTAGATCTTACATTTGTGGAGTAAGGTTTTTTTGTTCCTCTGTTCCTTTTATATGTACTATATTTTATTGGCCACACCTCCCAAGTATTTATTTAAAATTGACTTTTCTCCTTCTTCCACATTCTGGTTCGCACTTTCCATAAACTCCGTTATTCTGTGAAATACCAAATACCATTAAATATCCACAAAAATCAGCAGTTGCATCAAATAACTTGAAGTTGGTATCATGGGAAATGGATAATTGGACCTACAATCTGGACTGGTGAGGTATACATCTTTCATGCCAAGAGTAGAGTACGTTGAACTATTTTAGAACTTGACCTAGTTGTAGAGTGTCATTGAAGTTCTGCTCAGGATAAACTGCTACTTCAATTTGGAGACATTCCTCAATCCAGTAATCGCATAGTTAATTCCTACATTGTTTGAGTTTATCAGCAGTCCATCAAATTGATAAGTCTGTGCCAAGCTGAACAAGTTTTATGGAAAACATCTGACATAATGGGGAGAGAGAAGAGTCCGTTTGTACTGTATCATGCAATAAAAATGCATTAAGTGCAAAATTGTATCCTTTGATAAAAGTAAGAAGAATAATTCTGCCCCAAATGGAAATAGAACCATATTTTTCTTTTAAAATATGAAATCTGTAAGAAGATTAATATATGCTTGCAAACATCTTAGTAGAAATCTGTTTTCTTTTAACAAAGAGCAACACAATACTCTATTTAAAATAGGATGATAGTAAATGTTATATCAACAATATATGAATACATGTGAACAAATGAATTGTTATAATTAAATATTGGAGGCTGTTGTACCATGGTTTTGTAAGGATTATATTTAAAGAGGACTTCCTAGGAAAAAAAGGGGAGAACTAGAAAAAAGAATCTGTTGGCCCCATTAGCCACCATATAGCCTGACAGAAATCTAATCTGTATCTGCTCCTATTAATGTCTGGAAGCAGAATTCTTGATTTCAGGCATATGTTCTACTAACATTCTTCTACAACATGAAATATCAAGCTGCTACTATATGAGATATTATAGAGAAGTTGAGGCTGTTCCAGCATAAGTCTGATAGTCACATCCCTTGCAACTTCGACTAGAATTGTTCTTCAGACTTCATTTTTTGAGCTTACTCTCAAACTACAGTAGAGCTCTTTATAATTTAAAAGAAGGAAGTAATCCAATTGTTTATAGTCATAGGATTTTAAAATTACACTTTCTTGATGTTTTGACCAATTGTGTCCCTGTTACTTAAAATTATTGTTTTATTATATATTATACGTATATATGCATAAAATATAGAGGATTTATATTTTTTTAATACAAAACAATGTTATTTGCATGCTTTGACATGGATGTAACTTTCACAACAGATGCCAGTGCATAAAATATATTCTTTGGCAAATCTGTCATGTCAAGTATTAACATACTAGAGAAAATCTAGCTATGAGTAGCAAAATGATTCTATTAACATTTTAAAACATCAGTACTTGTTCTTTGTCACTGCTGCTTCGTTCTCCATCACAGATGTTAATGGCTAATATTTTAGCTGTCGAAACTCTGGCAGAGTGGGCACAAGGGAGTTAAATGATGCATGAAGCTTCTTCCTATAAGCTTTTGCCTCCAGTACAGAGGCTGGGTACATTGAGAATCCTTGTGTTCAGGAAGTCCAAAGCTCAGGGTGCACGGCACTTTGCAAGTTTGGGTACTAAGAAATCAAACCCAGTCAATTCAATGTCTGAATATTTTGTCTGTTCAATAGTTTGTTGCTAAGTCAGTATTGTTATCTGTGATGGTCCATTTTGTCAGAGATTTCTATTCAAGAAATAATTCTTTTTTTCCAGTGTGACAATGCAAAAGGACTCAAAGCCTTCTATGATGCAATAAAATATGGACCTAATCATCTGATGGTTTTTGGTGGAGTATGTGCAACAGTCACTTCTATCATTGCTGAATCCCTAAAAGGATGGAATTTAGTTCAGGTAAGTCATGACATATAATATATTTGACTACTGACTATCTTCAAATTCTTTAAAGAAATTTTTGGAAAATTAATACCTGTTAAAAGTTTTGATTAATGCTTTGCAAAATGTTAAATGTGAATAACTATACAATAACTTTGAAGATCAATGAGGTTATATATAAAAAGGACAATCATTTCAAATACTAATTTAAAACTTTAATTTAACACTTTCAGGGATTGGTATGTTGAGGCTTCAAAAATATATTAAAGCTGTTCAGAACATTTGTGATTAAAAATTAAAATTATTTTGTTTATTTGATTTGCCTTGGCAGATAGTTATTTACATTTTATGGGATATATGCCTGAATTGTGAGATTAATGGAATACAGAGATCATTCAAGCAACCTGGTGTGCTAATCCAGTGCCTGATCTAAAAAGCCCAATAAAGTGAAGAGAAAAACTCCCTTTGACTTCAGCAGGCTTTGAATCAATATATCCTGATGTCTTCACTCAGTTTTTTTCATAGTCATTATTCAAGCAAACTCACACTGACTTCAAAAGAAATTGAAATTAATACTTTTTTAGTAAAAACTAAATAAGGACCTCAGTATTTGGCCCATACATCACGTCTATGCCCAGCTGTTCCCTTCTCTGTCATTCTCAAAGGTCCCACTTCATGGGAATTTTCCCTCCCCTGAGGAATCATAGGATTTATTAATACTGATCTTTAAAACAGTCATCCAGATAAGACCAGTAAAGAGCAGCATGAGATGCCTCATGGCCCCAAGGCCTAATGAGGAAATCCTTGTCTTCTGGCTCAGAATCTCCATATTTACAGTGGACTATGCAAACTAGCCAACCAACCTGGGGATGTCATTTGGGATCCTCCCTGGCTTATCCCTCAAATGTGAATGATTTGGAACTGGTTGTAGGAAGGCTTCTGAGTTCTACATACTGCGTATATGACCAGTGTGTAACCAATAAGCTAGCAACGATGGGAGAAGCTCAACGAGGTCATTTTTAAGTTTGGTTTGGAAGTGGATAAATGACTGAATAGTGATCGATAAAATATGCCTTTCATACTATCCCAGGGCAAGTGTATAAAAATTGCATGTTATAAATGTATAACAATTACTTAAGTTCTGTAAGTAATTTTTTTTACACAGGAACCTTACCTAATTCAGTGCACAGGATGGAGACACAAGGGGCAGAATTAAGGTAGTGAAGGGGACATAGTGGGGGTGAAGGTGCAGAGAAGGGAGACTTAGCTTCATATTACTCAGCGTGAGGCAGCACTATGAAGATTCAAGGGCAAACTTTACACCAACTAAATGCACTCTGTTCCTTCCCTGTAACTCTTCAGAGTTGAAAGTTGTTTTTCCACTTGAGTTGTCCTACCAGTATTTGTCTAGAATTTTATCCCTCCCCACAAGTCATTCAGTTTCTCTTTAAATGTCCCCTAAACAGTTTCATTTTCTCTGTATTTTAAGAGTGACTCTTTGCAAAGGATTTTCTGATACTTTTTACGAAGGATCTTTCATAGAACCCCCCAGAAGGTATGGTTGTGAAGCAAAGATTTTATTTTTATTCCTCCACTATACCTTGGATGGAGTTGTGTTCTTCTAAGCTTAGGTAGCTTGTATGATGATGAAAATAGCAGGGTATCCTGGGAGAAGAGGGCATAGCAGTGGAAAATGTGACATTCCCAATGACTAAATGATGAAAGAACATAAATGAGAGCAGGGTTAGGTGGGGATTTCATGAAGTATAATGGGTGGTGCGGAAGTAATGAATACAACTTTAGATATGGTTTGCAAAAAAGTAATAATGTTTGCTAGACTGTACTGCCATACAGTGGGTATTATTGGTGAATAAGTCTGATGGGTGGATAAACGCAAATCCTTCTGTTCACAAGGTTGCAATTTGTTTAACCAGTATCCTTGATTTAAAACTTAACTTCAGCAGCAACAATTATACAGATTTTGTGGGGGAGGGCTAGCTCAGTGGTTTGAGCATTGGCCGCTAAACCCAGGGTTCTGAGCTCAATCCTTGAGGGGGCCATTTAGGGATCTGGGGCAAAAATTGGGGTCCTGCTTTGAGCACGGGGTTGGACTAGATGACCTCCTGAGGTCCCTTCCAACCCTGATATTCTATTAAATGAATTGCATACAGCATCACTGAAGACTCAAAACTACCATCCCAAAAAATGTCAGCGGTTTCACTTAAAGGTGTGACAATGGACACTAATACAGAATCATAGAAAGTAATGTGGATGATGTAGTAGTAGTAATTTAGATGAAGCCAAGAAGAGGAAGAGGAGGGAAAACAATTTCTATACATATAACTACTGGCAGTAGGCAGACCTGGCATTACACTGCAAGGAAAAGAATCTGAATTTGGCTCCCTAACCCCCATCAGTCTTTTCCTGTGAAAGCCACAGAGGCAGCATATTTAGGCCACAGTACGTACTGATTTGTTTTACACTGACCCCCTCTGGCTGGCTGAAGTGATGGCTTTTCTCCATAAAAGAGATGCTTTAGTGCAGGACACTCCTGAAGCAGTGGTTGGAGTAGAGAAGAAGAAAATAGAGAGCAGAGGAGCAGAGTAGTTGCTTAAACATCCTTCCATTTGTTATCAAAGATAGGGATAGCTTTCCTACTCTCAGCTTGATATTTTCCCCAAAGCTTTCTAGACCAAGTGAAAAATACTTCTGCCACCATGCTTCCAAAGCTGTCCCTCTCTTCCCCTCCCGCCAAAACATCCCCCAAATCACCCACACTCATGAAATATAAGGGAATAAAATAGTCATACAATGTTTATTATTTATTGAGTTGCAGCATTATTAATGAACTTTCTAAATAATGAATTTTAAGAAAATGGATTGTACTTTGCCTTCCGTGAATTTATTATTAATTCTTTCCACATCCTGACTTCTTCACTCCACTCTTACTTTCTTATTTTAGGTCATATTTTTCACACCGTTTTGAAATTGTTGTTGCATTTTTTCTTCTCAAGAAGGCAGACTTTAGCAAAGTCAGAGAGATGGTAGGTAAGATCCCCTGGGAAGCAATTCTAAGGGGAAAAACAGTTCAAGAGAGTTGGCAGTTTTTCAAAGAAACATTAAGGGCACAAGAGCAAACAATCCCACTGCCTAGGAAAGATAGGAAGTATGGCAAGAGACCACTCTGGCTTAACCAGGAGATCTCCAATGATCTGGAACTGAAATAAGATCCTACAAAAAGTGGAAACTAGGTCAAATTGCTCTCTTTAACTTTTGAGGATAGGACCAAAAGCAATGGGCTTCAATTGCAGCAAGGATGGTTTAGGCTGGACATTAGGAAAAACTTCCTAACTGTCGGGGTGGCTAAGCACTGGAATAAATTGCCTAGAGAGGTTGTGAAATCTCTGCCTCTAGAGATTTTTAAAAGCAAATGAGACAAATACCTATCAGGGACAGTCTAGATCAGAGGTGGGCAAACTACGGCCCACGGGCCACATCCGGCCCACGGGACCATCCTGCCTGACCCTTGAGCTCCTGGCTGGGGAGGCTAGCCCCCGGCCACTCTTCTGCTGTCCCTCCTCCCTCACAGTGCTCTGGGCAGCGGGGCTGCGAGCTCCTGCCAGGCAGCATGGCAGCATGTCTGGCTCCAGCCATGCGGCACGGCTGCTAGTCCTGCTGCTCTGAGCAGCATGGTAAGGGGGTCGGGAGTGGGGGGAAGTCAGGGGACGGGGAGCAGGGGGCAGTTGGATGGGGCGGAGGTTCTGAGGGGGATGGTCAGGGGATGGGGAATGGGGGGTTGGATAGGCGTGGGAGTCCCAGGGGGCCTGTCAGGGTGGTGGTATGAATAGGAGTCGGGGCAGTGAGGAGACAAGGAGCAGGGGGGAAAGAGGGGTTGGATAGGAGGTGGGGTCCAGGAGAGGCAGTTAGGGGCGAGGGTTCTGGGAGGGGGCAGTCAGGGGACAAGGAGCCGGGGTTGTGGGGGGAGGTTGGATGGGTCGGGAGTTGCGAGGGGGGCAGTCACGGGGCGGGAAGTGGGAGGGGGCGCATAGGGGGCAGGGGCCAGGCTGTTTGGGGAGGCACCGCCTTCCCTACCCAGCCCTCCATACAGTTTTGGAACCCCTATGTGGCCCTCAGGCCAAAAAGTTTGCCCACCCCTGGTCCAGATAATGAGTGGTCCTGCCTTGAGTTCAGATGCTTGAGGTCCCTTCCAGTCCTACGATTCTATGATTCTCCCTCCCTCTGCCCCTTTATGTTCTTTTCTTTCTTACTGTTCTTCTTTTCCCCTTACTTGCTGGCTCTTCTCCTTCCCGTACCCATGATCTTTCTTTCTCTCTCTTACTATCTTTTTAAAAATTATCCCCAGAAACATCCAGTGACATATCCATTTTAGATAGTACCTTTTACAAATCTCAAAATAGGCTGCAGAATTACAAACTATATAATAATAATTTCACCCACCACCAAAATGCAGCCAAATCTTGGTAGAACACACTGCAAAAGGCATATATTTCATAGATAAATTGAGAGGTAAACAACAATAAAAATACATTGGAAAATATTATGTTGTATTTTATCAGTTGTATTTTATCCATTATTTAAAAGGACTTGAATTTTTGCACGACTGAAAATTCAAGTGTGCTCATTCCTGACCACTTAAAAAGATGACAACTTCCTGCGCTTCTGCCTCACAACTCATGCGGGTTTAAAGATGGCCTGCAACAACTGAAATGGGAGGGAAGACTGCTAGAGCCCTGGTAGATAAAGTGTCAGGATGATTGACTGAATATGTCTTAAAGCTATTTAATCACTCATATGCTGTAGCTGTGCAGACGAAAGAGGTTTTTTGCCTCTACCATAGCATCTGCCAAATCTTGATCAGTAGATTTATTTCTGGTCCTGTATTGGTTGGTGAATGGTCTGATTTGAATACCTCCTGTTACAAGCATATTGCTGGTTATCTTGTGGAGAAAATCACCCAGATTCAGACTAAGCTTTCTGCATCTGTGGAAACAGTGTGT